CACTATATAATGATGAAAGGGACAATACACCAGGAGGACATAACCATAATAAATATTTACCCACCCAACGACAGGGCTCCAAAATACATAAACTCTAACAGCATTGAAAAGAGAGATAGACACCTCCACAATAGTAGTAGGAGACTTCAACACACCACTTTTGGTGAAGAACAGAACATCCTGAAAGAAGCTCAATAAAGACACAGAAGATCTAAATGCCACAATCAACCAACTTGATCTCATGGACATATACCGAATACTCCACCCAACAGCAGCCAAGTATGCTTTCTTTTCCAACGCATATGGAACATTCTCCAGAGTAGACCACATATTAGGCCATAAAGCAAGCCTTAACAAACTCCAAAGCATCAAAATATTACAAAGCATCTTTTGTGACAATAAAGCCATAAAAGTAGAAATAAACAACAGAAAAAGCAATGAAAAAAAAATCAAACACGTGGAAACTGAACAACACCTTGCTCAAAACTACTGGATCATAGAAGAAATTAAGGATGGAATGAAGAAATTCACAGAATCAAATAAGAATGAAAACACATCCTACCAGAACCTTTGGGACACAGCAAAAGCAGTGCTCAGAGGTCAATTTATAGCAATAAATGCACACATCCAAAAAGAAGAAAGGGCCAAAATCAAAATATTAACCCAACAACTCAAACAAGTAGAAAGAGAGCAGCAAAAGAAGCCCTCAAACACCAGAAGAAAGGAAGTAATAAGAATTGGAGCAGAATTAAATGAAATAGAGAACAGAAAAACAATTGAAAGAGTTAACAAGACCAAAAGCTGGTTCTTTGTAAAGATCAACAAAATCAATAAACCACTGGCCAAACTGACAAAAGAAAAACTGGAGAGGAAACAAACAACCTGAATAAGAAATGAGATGGGCAATATCACAATGGACCCAACTGAAATTAAAAGAATCATAACAGAATACTATGAAAAATTGTACTCTAACAAATTTGAAAACCTAGAGGAAATGGGCAAATTTCTAGAAACTCACTACGTACCTAAACTAACACAAACAGAGGTAGAACAACTAAATAAACACATAACAAAAGAAAAGATTGAAAAGGTAGTTTTAAAACTCCCAACAAAAAAAAGCCCTGGCCC